GTAGGCCCTGGTCCTGTTGGACCATCGCTGTGCCCGCCTCTCTGTAGGAGCTCCACGGCTCTTCATCTGTCCGTGTCGTAAACTGAGCAGGGCTTTCAGGGGCGGGCTAGGACTGAGTGCTGATTGGCTGTGGTTAGGTGGAGTAGATGGAGTAGATCATATTTCAAGCTCCAGCAGATACCTGATGCCAGCGTTTGAGTGAGGAACACAAGTATTTGAACACCTTGTGATTTTGCAGGTTCTCCCTCTTAGAGATCATGGAGGGGTCTGAAATCCACACAGTTCCCGCTGTGAGAGACAGAACTCGTGTGATTTGTAAGGAGTGTGTTTGTTTTGCACTGCTGGACATACGTATCTGAACACCTGAGAATCAGCAAGAACTCTGGCTCTCAAAGACCTGCTACTCTGCCTTTAAGAAGTCCACCTCTACTCCACCTAGTCATCTTCATTAGCAGCACCTGTCTGAGCTCTTTAAAGACACCTGTCCACCCCACAGTCAGTCACACTCCAACCACTACCATGGGCAAGACCAAGGAGCTGTCAGAAGACACCAGGGACAAAACCGTGGACCTCCACAAGACTGGAAAGGGCTCTGGGGAAATGGCCAATCAGCTTAGGGAAAGCAGGTCACCTGTTGGAGCGACTGTCAGAAAATGGAAGAGGCTGAAGACGACTGTCGGTCTCCCTCGGACTGGGCTCCTTGCAAGATCTCATCTGGTGGGGCATCACTGATGATGAGAAAGGTGAGGAACCAGCCCAGAACGACACGGGAGGAGCTGGTCAGTGATTTGAGGAGAGCTGGGACCACAGGTTCAAAGGTCACTGTTGTAGAACACCACGCCGTCGTGGTTTCAAATCTCGCATTGCACGAAAGGTTCCCCTGCTCAAGTCATCACACGTCCAGGCCCGTCTGCCAGCGACCATCTGGATGGTCCAGAGGAGGCATGGGAGAGAGTCATGTGGTCACAGACCAAAGTAGAACGTTTTGGTCTAAACTCGGCGTGTTTGGAGGAAAAAGGAGGAGTCGCATCCAAAGAGCACCTTCCCTACTGTGAAGCATGGGGGTGGAAACATCATGCTTTGGGGGTGCTTTCTGCGAAGGGGACAGGACGACTGCACTGTATCAAGGAGAGGATGAATGGGGCCGTGTGTTGTGACATTTGGAGCAACCACCTCCTTCCCTCGGTCAGGGATGGGTCGTGGCTGGGTCTTCCAGCATGCCAGTGACCCGAAGCACACAGCCAGGATAACCAGGGGGCGGTTCCGTCAGAAGCACATCACGGTTCTGGAGTGGCCTAGCCAGGCTCCAGACCTAAATCCAATCGAAACCCTTTGGAGGGAGCTGAAACTCCGTGTTGCTCAGCACCAGCCCAGAGCCTGACAGATCCAGAGGAGAGTGGGCCAAAATCCCTGCTGCAGTGAGGGCAAACCTGGTCAAGAACTACAGGAAACGTTGGATCTCTGCAGCTGCACACAAAGGATTACTACTGACTTTCTCAGGTGTTCAAGTACTCATGTGCAGCAGTGCAACACAAACAAGTTCCTTACAAATCACACGAGTTCTGTCTCTCACAGCGGGAACCTCCATGATCTCTAAGAGGGAGAACCTGCAAAATCACAAGGTGTTCAAATACTGATGTTCCTCACTGTATGTGTGAAAGTAAAGGGCCAGGACTTCTGACCTATCAGAAGGTAGCTCAGCGGGAGGGCGTAGCCCTTCACCTGTTCAATCAGGTAACGTTGAAACTAAAAGGATGCTTAAGGAGCTTAAGGTGAGCGGGAGACATATCTGAAGGACATTTGCCAGCTCTTCAAATGTTTATCATGTTGGACTGTGGACGTGAGCCTTGTAGTGGACCAACTATTTCAGTGGAGGACGTTAGTTGGACGTAGAAGACCGGTTTTGGTCCTGTCAGTGATATGAGGTTTGAACAAGTCCGTACTGTGTCTACAGTTACGATGGTGTCCTTGATTAGCATAGATCTCCACTGCTACAGGAGTCCTGCAGTGTTTCTCAACGCCACGGAACCTCGCCTTGATGTCTTGGCCCCGCCCTGGTTGCCTAGGAGATACGTCATCGGGACCCACCAAGGCGTGTTCCAATGTTCTACCCAGGCGCGTGTTCTCCGTTTGTTAGCCGTTTAGCTAGCTGAGCGAGGATACACGGGAGGTGTCGTGTAGCCTAGCCTTGGTCAAAAATTACCCAGAATACACCGCTGTGTTTTCAAAAGGACGGCGGATCAGAAGCCGGCAGCTACTTCGGGGCAAAGTTCAAGTTTAAAAGTAAATCAACTAATTTAAAATGTTTATTTTAGATCTAAAGAAGTTATCTGTGGTTGGTTAGTAGCTTAGTAGCTGCAGCTTCGGTGGCTAGCGGGTAGAAACTCGCTTACATGTTTAATTTAACTAATATGTTCACTATTTAAACAGTAAAAGACTCTGTATACATTTAAAGGCCTGGGACGATTACAAATTTAGCTGGATGATATTTTGGGACTACGTCTCTCACCTAGACAGGGAACGCCTTGGGATTCCCCGGAAGAGCTGGCCCAAGTGGCCGGGGAGAGAAGAAGAAGAAAACATCATTTCTATAGCGCCTCTCAAGATAAAAACCACGAGGAGCTTCACAAAAACAAAACATGTAAAAATATAAAAAAGCATTTACAAAATGTTTAAAAATATATTTAAAATGAGCAAAAATAGACGATTGTGATTAAAAATGTTAAGAAAGAGAGAGAGAGAACAGGAAAGAGGGAAATCAGTGGATCCTGAGGAAGGTGGAATAGGTGGGGAGAGCAGAATAAAGAGAGAGAGGTGAAGAAGGTCATACAAAAGCCAGCTTGAACAAGTGAGTCTTCAGCTGCTTTTTAAAGGAGACCACTGAGTCCACTGATCTCAGGCTCAGGGGGAGAGAGGTCCAGAGTCTGGGGGCCACAGCAGCAGATGATCTGTCACCTTTGACCTTTAGCCTGGTGCTGCACAACCAGTAGGCTTTGGTCACTGGACCTCAGGGACCTGCTGGGGGTGTAGGGACTGAGAAGATCACCAATGTAAGATGGTGCTTGTCCATGTAAGGCCCTATAGACCAGAACCAGGATCTAGAAATGAACCCTGAAGTTGACTGGCAGCCAGTGAAGCTGGAGGAGAAGCGGGGTGATGTGGGTGTGTTTGGAGGACTTGGTCAGAAGCCGAGCACAGGCGTTCTGAACCACCTGTAGACGGTTCAGGGAGGTTCTGCTCAGACACGTGAAAAGAGAGTTACAGTAGTCTAAGCGTGAGGAGATGAAGGTGTGGAGAACTGTCTCAAGTTCAGAGCGGGACAGAATGGGACTCAGCTTAGCAACGTTCCTGAGATGGAAGAAGGAAGAACGAACAAGAGAACCGACATGAGAATCCAGGGTGAGAGCTGGGTCAAAGGTCACGCCAAGATTCCTGACAGAAGGTTTGGTGTGGGAAGCAAGCTGACCAAGAGAGTCTCTGACTTTGGGAACCCGCTTGTCTGGGGCACAGATGAGGATCTCAGTCTTATCTTCATTCAGCTGAAGAAAGCTCCCACCATCCAGGTTTTGATAGAGTCTAAGCAGGTGTGTAACAGCTGCAGCTTAGACATCTCATGGGGCTTAAAGGAGATGTACAGTTGGATGTCATCTGCATAAAGATGGTAGGAGATTCCTTTGAAGGAGCTCAGGATGTGCTGAAGAGGAAGCAGATAGAGGAGGAAGAGCAGAGGCCCCAGCACAGAACCTTGTGGGACACCATGGGTAAGGGAGGTGGTGGAGGACCTAAACTTGGAGACGGCCACAGAAAAGGAGCGCTCAGAGAGATAAGAGGAGAACCACTCCAGAGCAGATCCTGATAGGCCTACCCAGTCTCTCAGCCTCTCCAGTAGCAGGTGATGGTCAACAGTGTCAAAGGCTGCAGTCAGGTCCAGCAGGACCAGAACAGAACAGTCCCCTGCATCACTGTGGGTCAGAAGGTCATTAGAGACCCTAAGAAGAGCTGTTTCAGTAGAATGAGCTCTACGAAAACCTGACTGGAAGCTATCATAGATGTTATGTTCATCAAGAGCAGCTGTGAGTTGTTTAGCCACAACCTTTTCCAAGATCTTGGAGATGAACGGAAGTTTAGAGATGGGTCTGAAGCTGCTGTGGAGAGAGGGGTCGAGACTCGGTTTTTTAAGAAGTGGGTGGATTACAGCATTCTTAAAGTAGGCAGGGACCTGACCAGAGACCAGAGAAGCATTAATTATAGTGAGCACGCTGGGACCGATGGTCTGAAAAGCACTTTTAAACAAAGATGAGGGTAAGATGTGGAGGGGGCATGCAGAGGTCTTCATAGAGTTAACTAGTTTGGTTAACTCAGGCAAAGAAACAGGAACAAAGCTATCTAGGATGATGGGCCTGGTTGGAGTCGGGAGAGGCGGCGATAAGGCTGAAGGAGAGATGCTAGATCTAACCTTATTGACTTTGTCCACAAAAAAAGACAGAAAGTTCTCACAGTCTGCAACAGAGTGGATGGAGGCTGTAGGAGAGGCAGGAGAGACGATGCTGCTGATGGTGCTAAACAGCACCTTGGGGTTCCCTTTGCTCTGGGACACCAGGTTGGAGAAATAGGAAACCCTGGCGTCTCTGACTGCAGAGTTAAAGGATGTCAGAAGATCCTTTAGGTGCAGCAGATGGACGTGGAGATGGGTTTTCTTCCACAAACGCTCAATTTTTCTGCATTGGTGCTTCAGGCTGCGAAGGCTGTCATTAAACCAGGGAGTAGGGTTCACTGTAGTGGTGTGCATCTCTACCTGCCTCACGATTCGATCCGATTCCGATTATCTGCCTAATGATTCGATTTGAGTCTGAAATGCATCACGATTCTTCACACAAAAATGTTCATTACTTAATAAAAGCAGTAGAATAGTTTTCAATTTCTTTTTGATTTCAAAATCCCTGAAAAACAGAACATTCATCTATTCACTATAGTGAGCAATAATGTTTAAAGTGTGCTGC